TTTTTTTATTTATTATTTTTATCTTTGACTCTTTTTAAATTTGAATGTATAATTTTTTTTAAATCTTATCAAATGTCAAAACTCCACAAAATCCCACAGAATCCATTAAAATCCTAATTTAAAAGTCTTGCAGAATCCATTAAAATCCTGATTTGAAGTCTTGTAGAATCTTGCAAAATCTTAAAAGTCATGAAAATCCTGCAAAGTCTTTTAAAATTCGCAGGATTTTTTTTAACTAAAAAAGTCCTTTAAAATTACTCAATTAAAACATTGATGATCAAAATTGCACAATTACAATACTTGAGAGATCAAAAACAATTAAACCTTTTTATTTATTAATAATTTATTTTAAAAATATTAATATTTAATTTAATTTTTAAAGACTTAATATGAGATTTATCAATAATTATGATAAATAAAAGTTGAATATTAATGTTTGTTGGTCAAGATTAATCTTTAAATCTTAACGTCTCAAGTTTTTTTTTTGGTTCGTTCCTGGAGTATCCACCGTCGACAGCAGTGACTAATCTCCTCGCTACGTTGGAGGCACCTCAAAGGGTGGGATAGCTGGCCCCAAGATTTAACGCGGCTGCATACACAAGACAGGATTCGAACCTCTGACCTTGTTTAAGCGTGGATCAACCCCTACCGTTGAACCACACGCTTGGGGTTAACGTCTCAAGTTTAAGTATTGAGTATAATAAATAAAAAAATTAAGAAAGATGGTCTTTATATAGTTAAGACCTAATATTATAGTAAAAAAATGAATTGGATAAAAAAAATTAACTTAGTACACTAAAAGAAATTTATAAAAATTCTGGAGTAAGTGATAACTTTGGTTGATTTTTCTTTTTTTCACATATTCTTTTTAATCCGTTACCATATCGACAAAATATTTGTTGATGAAGATGATGCTTACAAGATTAGTAGAAGTTGTGTTCTTTTAAAGATAATCATAACACGTGATTTCAGAGATCAGAGATCAAACGATGTTTTATTTTTACAGATTTTATCATCTTTAATCATTATGAAATATTTATCTTAATTTTAAAAGTTTTGTAATACTTTCAGAAATTATCACTTTATATAAATTAGAATCAGTTTTTTACAAATTTAAATATATTTTTAATTATTGTAAAATAAGTGTATTTTTAATTGTAATTTTTTAAAATAATTTTTCATTTTTACAGGGAAGTAGCAGCTAAAAATTTGTATTTATTCTTCATAATATTATACATGGATTAAATATATTACGACAAAATAAATGAGTCAAATTACTATTCATGAACTATTCGAATTTCACATGTCACTTCTTCATTCATGCTCGTTTTTTTAGTTATAGAAAAATTCAAACTCAAGATTAGATTTTATTAGATATGAAGTTAAAAGAATTTTACAAAAAATTTTCATTGAAGAAAAATATTTTTTTTTTTGTAAAGACAAAATTTTATTCCGCAAGTAGAATAATTTGTCCCTCTATGGTAGGCATGGCAACGGGGCGGGGCAGGGGCGGGGCAGGGACGGGTTTTACGTTCCCCGCCCCCGCCCTCGATACCCGTTAGGGGTAAAATCTGGGTACCCATTATCATCACGGCGGGATTCGGGTTTCCCCGCCCTTGCTCCTATTTTTTTTCTTTTTTTTTAAATAAATATGAACAAATTTTAAAAAAAATAAAAGAAAAGTAAAATAATATAAATTTTTACATATAAATATTTCTAATTTTGGTTTATATATATATAAATAATTTTTTAATTATATTATTAAGCGGGGCGGGGCCGGGGGCGGGGCCGGTATTAACATCCTCGTCCCCACCCCTGCCCTCGATTTTATGAATCAGGGCCCGAACCCGATAAACACGGGTTTTCCCGTCCAAATCGAGGCGGGTTCGGACGGGTACCCATGATGGCTGGTTAGATTGTCATGCCTACTCTATGGTAGCACATGGTTGACCCTATTGGTGTTGGTCCATGATTGGCAAAGAAACTTTAGGAGGGTGAGGGTCTGCTACGATTTTGGATTGGTTCGTGTGTATGGGTAGGTTTCGATCAATGCATTAACTCCCCATTAAGAAGTTGGGTAAACCTTGATGATGTGTTGTTCGAGGCCTAATCGTCCATTCCCACCTTTTTAGGAACGACATAGTGCATTCTAATTTCTCAGAAGATTGTGGTAACACTCACACGCATGAAGAAATAGGAAATAAAGGTATCAATAGTTATAGATCCCCCCAAGTTGAGACACGAGATAAGGTTTTTAAATAGGGGTTGATAGGTGTGAGAAAAGATAAACACTAGAAACGCAGTTGAATAGTGTATATCAAAAACTCATACGTTTTCTACAGTGAAGTGGTAACACTAGTCAAATGAAATAAAAAGAACAATCAAATGAAACACTAAGTATTTTTATACTGATTTGTTTCAACTACTGAGACTACATTCAGTTATTAATCCAACCAGATTGAGTTCCATTATCTTTAAACAAAGATACAAGTATTCTTTTAATAAGTCATTTCTAACTCAACCCTAAGTGTTTTTTGACTTATCTCTTTAAGTGTGACACCCTTACTACCCCAACACATATATAA